AGCAAGCAGAAACAACAGTAAAATCACAGTTTCTCGGTAGTCCCAGCTACCAAAACTTCCAGAACTACACCAACCTGATTCCTTTATAGCCAAGGATATGTAGGTAACCTCCGAAGCAAGGTTTGGTCAGGCTTTTTCAAAAGATGATTCTCATGGAGTTTCAAACGGGCACAAATCTTTCGTAATTGCTCATTTTATCTTTGCTCGGAAAACCCTTCATGTTTCCGAGCAATAAGGGACAACTGTGAGCATGTGATTTTTGCCCTATATGAATTGCTCCTATAAAAATCAAAGAAAATTGATTTTTTCCAATTATTTGCCATTTTATAGGATTTTGTGGGATTTTTATTAATTGTTTGCATTTTTTGTGCACGTTTAATTCTTATTAAAATCATGAAAAAAAACAAAATACCATGCATTGCATTTAGATATTGTTTTATACTTTTTAAAATCAATTAGTTAATTAATTTTTGTATTAAAAATGAAAATCACAAAAAATAGCTTATTTTACATTTTTATCTTTTAATTTTTAGATTATTGATTTTTTTTCTCTGTTGATTTAGGATCAAGTAATTTTTATAATTATTATAATTATTTAGTTTTACAATTTAGATAATTTAGAATTTTTAATTAAAAAAAAGGAATATAAGAAGAGAATTTGAAAAAGGGGGTTTTAATTCAAAATTGGGATGTTCTTATGCCCAAAATATGTCCCAAATCACTCAAAGCCCAAAAACCCTACCCGATCGAACCTGGCCGACCCAGTTGACCCGCGCAAATACCCTTTTAATCTCAGCCATTTACTCAATTCAATCCAATGGTCTAGATTTCTCCCCACCCCCATATAAAAACCCACTTATAACACCCCAAAACCCTAAACCTAATTTCCCCATCTCCCAAAACGGCGTCCTCACTCCTCCTCCACCTTCTTCCGCGCCACCACCACTTATATTCACCGGATAATTCCCCTCTAACCATCACATGGTCTCTCCTCTCATTCCCTTCCATGTGGCTTGACAAATAACGGATTTTGTACAAATCGAATCTTACTCCTTCTCCCTCACGTGATCATCTTATCCGAAATAAATTTGAAGACGAGATTAGAATGAATGGGAAGCGTAGGATTGGATCTCACTCGATCTACTCCCTCCATTTGTGTTTTACTCATTTCAAGAATTAGAATTTCGGATTTCTCTAAAGAGGGTAACATTTTTTTTTTCATGAGGGGGATTTTTCTATATTTTGGGGGTCGTCCCGCTGTTTTAGAAGAAGAAAAATTGGAGGGATTGGAGAATCCTCAGATTTTTGGGACTAATTTTTTCTTTCTGTTTTTACCAGCGAAAAAAAAAGAAAAGGAAAAAAATTGTTTCAATCATCTTCTTCTATTTTTTATTTTTTTTGTTCTTAAGTTTGGAGTTTCTCAGCTTGTTTAAAAGTTGAAAGGAAAGTTGTGGTTGTCTCCTTGCTAGTTTTGTTTTCACTTTGTGGCTGGATTTCATCATCTTCTTTTGAGACTCTTGTTTCGTCTTTGTTTGCTGCTAGAGGTTGAAATAGCTTCAGGATATATGGATTACTGTAATGCCATGATGTTCCTTTAAAGGTATATTTTCAATACATGTACATTGAAGTGTAAAAATAGTTCATATTCAATATGTAACTAGACCAAAATTTCTAACATCTTATATGAATTGCCTTTATTCTTGAAATTCATCTTTGCTCTCCTTAAGCCTAAACAATATCAAAACTTTTTCTTTCTTATTTTATGTGCTACATACAAAAGGGGACATATTATTTCTTCTTTTTTCCCTTTAATGTTCAATATTTATTGCATTTTATCTTATAATTATTAGGTATAATGTTGCGTGATACGTTTCTGATTTCTAACTAATTTTTTTTCTAATTAATCTATTGGTTCTTTTCATATTCTTACTTGTAGTTTTATATTTAGATATTGAATTCCGAAGTTTAGCATTTTAACCTCTTAAAATAGAAAATGAAATGTTAGATGCTGATTTTGAATTAAAGCACATTGCTTGAGACAAATAAAGGTTACATGTTCAATATTTTCCAGTGAAGAGTCCATTATCCTTGTTTTTTTTCCTGAAACAAGTTTTGTTTTGTGTTTTTTTGGATCTTCAATCCATTTGGAACGTTTGTTTGTTGTTGGAATTTTTTTTTAATTATTCATTCTTTTTTAAAAAAAGGGACAACAATTTGAATATGGGCTAAGGTAAAAAATGCAATTTGGGTCTAGGATTGTCCAAGAAGAAATGGGCCTATAATGTGGTGGGCTTTAGGTTTTGGATTGGACATTAAATAAGGTAGTTTAGGCCTCTGTTAATTTCGAATCCATACCTCATGGCCTCGCAATAATCTCAACGATTAGGAAAGTAAACACTCATAGTTTGATTTAACTATTGTTGTGATTATGTATATGTTCACGTAACATAATCATGAATTTCATTCTAAAAATAAATCGAGGGATGCATTCGCGCAACTTCGACCAAGACTTTTCCTTAATAATTAATAAAGTGCGATTGGCTGGGAGGATATTTCCCCTTTCGTTGTTTCGCTTGCTATGTTGAATCCGTTGAGGACTCGAGAGGCAGGCACGATTGGGTCAAGCAGCCTAAGCTGCTCTACCACCCTCGACTTGATAATATAGGCCAAGCTACCTGGATCGAAAAGTACACATTTAATTTGAAATGTGTTTACGAGGAAAGAGATTACCAGTGCGTCGTTGTGAGGTAGAGACAAGGTATCGATGCCCTCGTCGCTGAATGTGAGAGCATCCTTGGGTATGTAACCCCTAGTTCGCTTTTCTCTGGTGATGGATATTTTTTTTCTTCTGATCATGGGTTCTTGTGGAGTATCAATGCCTCCTAAGATCATATGGATGACATGTTGTGGCTCATTTGTTTCATTCTTCTTGGTTGCCTCTCTTTCCCGGAACTGATTTTTGGCCTGGTCGCTGAGGAATTCTTGGAGATGACTTTGCTGAGTAGTCGGGCTACTTCTTCCCGGAGCTGCCGGCAATCCTCGGTCCTGTGACCATGCATGTTGTGGAATTCACACACAAAGTTATGGTCCCTTTATGAAGGATCCAATTGCATGGGCCTTGGCCACCTGGTGTCTCTGATTTTTCTGATGGCGAATACGATGTCTGAAACATCGACATTGAAGTTGTATTTTGATAAGCGAGGTGCCTCCCTTGGCCCTGTGTGCCTATTGAATTTAGCTCTGTTGATAAGTCCCCGACGATTTTGACCTCGATCAATTCTTCGGGCATTGGGGGGCATGTTGCGCCTTGGGGAGTTTCTTCTATCTTCGGTGTATGGTTGGTATCTCTCTTTGTTCATCTTTGACTCATTTTCCGGAAGCCAGGGGATCCTAGTTGGTCATCTTCGACCCTGATATTCGATTGATATCGATTGTAAACATCCGACCAAGTCACGACGGGGTATTCAACCAGATTCTATTTCAGCTGTTTCGAAGCCACCGAGCTTCGTTCATTAAAACCTTGAATGAAGGCCTGAACTACCCAGTTATCGGAGACGGGAGGTAGTTCCATTCATTCTATTTGAAAGCGAGACATGAACTCTTGCAGCATTTCATTCTCCCTCTACTTGATTTTGAAGGCATCATATTTCCTTGTAGCTACTTTGATAGCACCAGCATGTGCCTTAATGAAAGAATCTGCGAGCATGGCAAAGGCGTCTATCGAGTTTGGGTCTAGGTTGTGATACCATAACATTTCCCCTTTTGAAAGGGTCTCTCAAAATTTTTTCAGTAGGACAGACTCGATCTCGTCATCCTTTAGGTCGTTGCCCTTCACCGCACAATTGTAAGTAGTGACGGGCTCGTTGGGGTCCGAGGTTCCATTGTACTTCGGAAGGTCAGACATTCTGAACTTCTTTGGAATGGGTTTTTGGGCCGCTTCTTGTGGGAATGGATTTTGTATAAACTTCTTCGAATCTACACCTTTCAGGATCGGGGGTACGCCCTAAATTTGATGGACCCTAGAATTGTAGGTCTCTGCTTTCTTGTCGTTGGCTTCTATCTTCTTTTCGCCCGACTTGATCCTTTTTGTGAGGTCCTCGAGCATCTTTATGATGGAGGGGTCGGTTGCGACCCATTTTTGCTTGATCTTTCTGGTACCTGCTCGGCTCGGGGAGCCATTTCTTGAGCTACCGTGCTTTGAGTCTTTTGGCGGCTTTGCAATTGAGCAATCGCCAGCTGTATTGCTTGTAACATTTCGAAGATGACGTGAAGGCTAACCACTTGTTCTTCCTAAGCCAGGGTTTTTTATTCTTCTTTTTTATCTTCCTGGTGTATGCTCTTGTTGGTGTGGGAGCTTATTTCGACGTGTTGAGCGTTGTGCGAGACCACGTCTATGGGAATTGGTTCTGGTGCATTCTCAGGGTTTCGTGGTGGTACACCAACACCTGGAACGTTCACACCATTCTCTCAATGGTCTTCAAGATTGTTGTTTTCTCATGCATTTACTGAGTTAGACATTTTGACCTGAAATCAAAGATCTTGGACAAGATAAAGCGTGAAAGATAACTTGCATTATGTAGTAAAACTAACGAGAAAATAATCACTATTATTTTTAGCCCCACGGTGGGCGCCAAACTGTTTACCTTGAAAATGGTAATTACAATTGAATTTAATTTTGTGGTTCCAAAAATACGTGATATATTTTTATGCTAGTTGTTTAGGCAATGGATGCTTAGTGAAGTACTTGGAAACTAGGTAAGAGCTTGAGAGCAAGGTGATAATCAAATGAAATGGCTGACAACCGGGGCCTCGAGCTTGCTTATTCAGGGCCTCGGGATCGAGTCTGATATCTCACCAAGGGTAGTCGATTGATGACTAACAGTTATAATAAAATCAATGATGGCTATTTATGGCCAATAATGAGCAATAAATGAAGAACAATAAATGAAACACAGTGAATATAAGTAATAAATATAAGTAATGAGATCAAGGGAATATGGTTGAGATTAGAGATAATGTTCTTGTGTATTCAATATTGAGAAATAGATCATTTACAAAATGACAAGGATGCCCTTTATATATGACAGAGAATTCCAACATAGTACAAATGTATTTATTACAAAGATATAGAGTCGGTACAACTATTTAATGCCATGGTGCGGGCCTGGACTAGCATAATAGGCTTCGTCAGCTCTGGTCACATGCTTTGGGAACATCACATCGAGCCACCGAAGCTACTGGTTTACACTGCCTCGAGGCTGGTCGTTGTGAGCCCTTGAAGTCAATCACTGGGAGACCTCGAGACGCCTTGATGATCGTAAAATCGAACCGCCGATTTTTACTGCATACAATACAGTGAAAACAATATCAAAGCGGTAAAAGATGGCATTTAACACAGTACGCTCAAACATGTAATAAAAATTAGATAATAAAAGCCAAGTATAACAGTTATTCTAAACTCGAATTCTTGAACCCTGAACCAGAGATTCTGGGTTCTTGTCCCCAGCGGAGTCGCTAGAGATGTCACACCTCTTTTTTACCCGAGGGTGTATATAAGGGAGTTTTTCTAATTAAAGTGACATTATTTGAAATAGGATTATTTTATTTATTTAGGATCGTCACTTGGGATATTTATTATGGTGTCCCAAGTCACCGGTTTATTTAAAAATCGCATATCAAGGAAATTTGACTTCACTTAAAAGTCTGCAAAACCAGAAAAAACTATATAAGGAATTCTATTAACCCGGGAGAAGGTGTTAGGCATTCCCAGGTTTCGTAGTTCTAGCACGAATGCTTAACTACTAATAATTGACCTAATTATATAATTAATTGCATGTTTTAAACCTATTATGCATTTTTTTAACTTTGTAACCCCTTTTAATTATTTTAACCCACTTTTAGGATTTATGGGATTATTTCTTGAAGAAGTCATGATTATCGTACACTTGCCATTTTGGAACATATTGTAAACCATGCTACATTAAATGCACCCGCGATTTGCGATATTTTTATTTTATTATTATTCACAATTATTATGGTCGGGTCACATAAAATGCACACCCGAATCGTGCCTAAACCAAAACTACGATGTTCAAATTACATCCTAAGCTATTATGAGATTATTGTAAAAGTCCATGGCAGCATGTAGGGTATTTTTGCTACTTGGGGTAATCTAGCCTTAATTGTTATAAACTTAGAATATGAGAAAATGAGCCCAATTGACTATTTGTAAAACAGGCCCAGTCGCGACTATGAATTGACTGGGCCTTTCGTGGTTATGTTTTTCAACAACGAAAAATTGCCTAAAATATACATTGTCCAAGTCCAGACTTGGTTCACACAAGAGTAATATCAGAAAACTATTGCATTAAACTTTTAAAATTAGCTATACTACTATGATTTCTAACAACCCACATAAAATTAGAATTATGTTAATTTCAGACAAATAAGTTCATAGTTGGGGGCCAAGCTATTGGGCTTAGTACCCAGGCCTAGTTTCCTCACATTGGACAAGGCTTGCACGTACATAGAACTTGCATGCTTGCTCGGCCCAATACACTTAAACTAAATGATGATGGGGAGCTAAGAGCAGATACAACAATTACCCATAAAATAGAATTTACAAAGGAAAACAAATTCGCTATGCTTTACGTGATAATAGCAATGGGATATGATTTGAGTACCAATATCAACACAATAATCCCAAATTATGCAAACAATCTCTTATTAAATTACAATCATCCTTGGGCTTAAATATTCCCATAATAGAATTACAGAATACATTATTTAATACTCCTCTTAATCTCATTCTTTCAAACTCAAAACTATATGGATTCACAAAGCTGCTACTCATATGAGGCCTTTTACTATAATGACTCACCTAAATCTCAAGCTAACAGTCCATATCATGTTGTGACTAGATCCTGCGTACTTATGCCATAAGATGAATTACTTTTGAAAATATTAGGCAAAGGTAAGGTGAATCAAAACACCAAACTAGAAGTATCAATAGCAGAAAACAAATTAATTTATCCCTAAACCAGTTCTAAAACTGAGCCGTACAAAATAGATTCAACCAGGGCAAGGAGTTAACATCTATTAACTACTTAATAGAAAACAAAAGGTAGTGTAGTAATTATAAGCAAACATTTTTCAATTCATAGTATTACTTTATTCAAATAGAAGCCCAAATATTCATTCATGACACATATGAACAGCATAAATCACAACTTGAACAAAACTGATGGTCCACAAGGATTCAACAATTTCATAGTCATTTAACAAAGCATAATACAAGGGATTTGTGGACTGACCTAGCTGGCTAATAGATAAACAAAGAGAAGTGGAATCCATCCCAAGTAAAAGATCCCAGCAGCAACTTTCTGCAGTAGAACCAGAAATTCAAACAATCAATCGAACTTGTATATCCAAAAAGGTGAAGCAGAAAAATAGAGATGGAGAAAGCTTGAAATCCTCTCTATTTTTTGGTTTTTTCTTGTGTTTGAATTTAATTTTCAGAGTGCTTTTTTTTAGAAAATCAGTGAGTATGGAGAGTCAGGCTTATTCCTTCTATAGGCTGCACAAAGAGAGCATAAAAAAAGAATATTCTACCCTAGAATTCTGAAATGTCAGATAGTACAACTTCTTTTAACAGCTGTTTGTCCTTTTTTCTAGCCAATTTAAGCATTTTCATGCTAAAATGGGCACAGTTGTCCAATACTAGAACTTTCTCATATTTTCCTCATTTTAAATTCCCAATTTTACCCTTTTCAGTTTTGTTTATTGCAATTTCAACCCAATTTGACCTAATTCTAATTGTGATTACCCATTAACCCCTTCTAGAACCTATTAGAACAATCTAGGCAAATTCAGACTTTTCTTGAATTGTTTTTCAATTAAGCTCCCCCCAAAACCTTTGTTATTATCTTTTCCATTCTTTAAACCATTTAAACCTAAAATCAATCATCTGAATTAAGGCAACCTAGCTAAAACCATTCTGATTTAAGACCTAAACCAATAATTGAAATAGGACGTTTATTTAATTAAACCTACTAAACCCAAACAAATTTAAATTCAAAACAACAAAAATGGTAGAAAAACAGTAACAAAATGGTGAACAAAAATAATGATGCTATAAAACCTAATAATTAATCCTAATTAATCAAAACTTGATGCAATTAACCTAACTTACAAATAATTAAACTGCTTTTTGTTAATCACCATGTTTAACATGTTCGAACAATTTTTTCAGAATTAACCTAACAGTGAATTCAAACACTAATTAGTCTAAACACACGGCAAAACACATGCAATATCATCAAAGCAAAAAGATATAGACGGAAAGAAATCAAGAAATATACCTAAAGAAGAACTCTATCGAATCAGAACAACTTCGAAATAGATCCAAAAACTAAGTTAATTAATTGTTCTTGTTGAGAACGATCAATTAACGTAGGTTATAATCCAAATCGAGTCTTGAAAACTCGGAGCAAATCAAAAAGGGGGAAAACTAGGTTTGTTCTTAGATTTGGGATTCGAAGAAATCAACAGGGAATTTATGGAAATGGATGGTAGCATAGTGATGAGTGGAGGCTTGGGATTGTGGAGTGTGATTTTGGGTTTTTCTGGGCGGCTTAGGGTTTGGTTAAAATCTCATATCTTAGATTGATGAAAATCGGCAGGAATTTTGGTGAAAATGTTAATGGATTACGTTTGAGGGACTGTGGGTAGTGTGGGGTGTGAATTTGGGGTGATTTGGAGGTGTTCCGCCACCGTAGTGCGATTTTTTGGCGGCGGAGACGGCGAAGGATTCAAAGGCAGCTAAGGTTTGGTGTTTTGAGAGAGNAGAATTTGGGCCAATGAATTTTGCTTTGGGTGGCCCAAAAATCAGAACCCCCAAACAAATTATTTCTCAAATTTTCTTTTTCTTTGTTTTTCCTTTTCTTTTCTTTAATTTTAAATACTTAACTAAATTAATTAAAAGTCCTAAATTAAAACCTAAATTAATCTAATCTTTAAAATCAGACTAACCATCTATTTATAATATTTACAAAATTAATTAATCCTAAATTGATGAAGAGAAAATTTAATCTAATACTAAAAGTTAAAAATGTAAAATGAACAATATTTTTTTTTTGTGATTTTTATTTTAGTAAAGCAATTAATTAACTATTTAATCCTAAAATACGAACACAAAACCTAATATTCAATGCATAAATTTTTACGTTTTGTGGTATTTTTCATGATTATAACAAAATCAAATGTGCACAGAAATGCAAACAATTAATAAAATCCTACAAAAATTCTATGAAATTAAAAAAAATTATAAAATCTATTTTCTTTACTTTTTGTAGGAGTATTTCTAGTAGGGCAAAAATCACATGCACGTTTGGTATGTAGTATAGGCGCATAAATAGTGCCTCAATTTTTGAGCTATCTATGTCAAGGTGCAGCAGGTATGTTCCAGCAAAGAATACCATGCTTCATAAGGTGTGAACTTCTTATTCCAGTAATATATGGTCTACTATTTTCTTCCCATCTCGTCATGTTTCCCCAAAACACAACCGAAAGCCCCATCTAGTACGGACAAATATAATAGCAGAGGTTTACCAGGTTCTAGCGGGACCAAGACTGGTGGCATGGATAGGTATTCCTTGATTTTGTCAAAATCTTTCTGGCATTTTTCAGTCCATTTTCTTGCAGCACCTTTCTTTAATATTTTGAAAATTGGCTCACAAATCACGGTTGACTGTGCTATGATTCAGCTGATGTAATTGAGAAGCCTTAAGAAACTCATCACATCTTTCTTGCTCTTCGGGGTTGGCAAATCTTGTATGGCTTTGACTTTTGAGGGGTCCAATAGCAATTTTCAGTAGGGACTCCGAAAGCACACTTTGCAGGATTCAGTTTCAGATTGTACCTTCGAAGTCGATTAAAGAATTTCCTTAAATCTGCTATATGATATGCGCTTCTTCTGGATTTTATAAGGATATCATCTACGTATACCTCTATTTCTTTGTGAATCATGTCATGGAAAATGGTCTTCATGGCTTTCATACAAGTGGACCTAGCATTCTTCAGGCCAAACGACATTATTTTGTAACAATACATTCCCCATAGAGCGATAAAGGTTGTTTCCTCGGCATCATCCTCATCCATCCAGATCTGATGGTATCCCCCGAAGCAATCCACAAAGGATTGGAGTTCATGCTTGGCATAGTTGTGAATCAGTATATGTATATTGGGCAATGGAAAATCATCTTTGGGACTTGGTTTGTTTAAATCTCGATAGTCGACACATACTCTGACCTTCCCATCCTTCTTTGGAACTGGCACGATGTTGGCTAACCAAGTTGGATATTCGACCACTCTGAGAACTTTGGCTTTGATGTGCTTGGAAACTTCTTCTTTGATCTTCAGGCTCATATCAAGTTTGAACTTTCTTAGTTAATGTTTTATGGGCGGACACATCAGATCGGTAGGTAGTTTATGAGTCACTATAGACGTGCTCAAACCAGTCATATCATCATACGACCATGCAAAAATGTCCTCATACTCCTTTAGGAAAGAGGTGTATTCTTCTTTTTCTGATAGTGACAAATGGATACTTATATGGGTTTCTTTGACTATTTCAGAATCTCCCAAGTTGACTATCTCAGTTTCGTCCAATTTTTGGTAATTACGACGCTTCATGAGCACGTTTTCATAGGCTCAAGATTATGGTTGAGATTAAACCCGAGGGATTATCGACATCCAGCCTCGGGGTAGTGCAGATCGATAGTCATGATTGAAAAATGGGAGGCTCCCAAGGCATGTGACTAAAGCTAACCTAGTCTATTTGGCTAGTTTATGTCCGTACGGTGGCATTAAATGGTTGTACCAACCCCATCTCTTTGTAATAAATGTATTTGTACTATGTTGGGATTCCCACTCATATAGAAAGGGGATCCTTGTCATTTTGTAAGACATCTGTTACTCAATATTAAAATGCAAAAACATTCTCTCTACTTTCTAACATATTCTCTTGATCTCATTTCTTACATTTATTGCTTATATTCATTGTGTTCTATTTATTGTTCTTCATTTATTGCTCATTATTGATCATAAAAGTATTCCATCAATGCTATCATAACTGTTAATCCCCCATCGATTGCCCCTAGCTGAGCATCCGACTCGACCTCGAGGCCCGTATACGCCAACTCGATGCCCCTATTTCCAACCATTCGGTTTGGTCATTATACTATCTACAAACACTTATCTCATTTTCTAATCAATTACTTAGCATCTATTACCTAAACAACTAGAATAAAATAGATCACGTAATTTTAGAACCACAAAATCAAATCTAATTGTAATTACCATTTTCAAGGTAAATAGTTTGGCGCCCACCGTGGGGCTAAGAATAATACTGATTATTTTCTTTTTGGTTTGCTACATAACGCAAGTTACCTTTCACACTTTTTCTTGTCCAAGATCTTTGATTTCCGGTAAGAATGTTTAACTCATTAAACGCACGTGAAAACAATAATCTTGAGGACCATGGGGAGAATGGTGTGGATGTTCCAGGTGTTGGTGTACCACCACGAAACCCTGAGAATGCACCAGAACCAATTCCCATGGACGTGGTCTCGCGCAACGCTCAGCTCGTCGAAATAAGCTCCCATACAAACAGGAGCATACACCAAGAAGATCGATAAGAAGCTCAAAAATCCCCAACTCAGGAAGAACAAGGGGTTAGCCCTCACGTCATCTTCAAAATGCTACAAGCACAACAACAGGTGATTGCTCGGCTGTAAAGCCAAAAAACATCCCGAACACTCGGGAACTGGGATCAACAACTAAAAACCGTATGACCTCCAGGTCAGAGTTTCAAACTCGTAAGCCCTCAATGAGGCAACATCAGGTTCACAACACGACTCCAGAGCCAAATACGTCCCGAACATTCGGGGATTGGCATCAACAACTTGAAACCGTACGACCTCCGGGTCGGAGTTTCAAGCTCGTAAGCCCTCAATGAGGCAGCATCAAGTTCACAAAAATGTTCCAGAGCTAAAAACTTTCCGAACATTTGAGGACTGGCATCAAAAACTTGAGGACGCATGACCTCCGAGTCGGAATATTAGAACTCGTAAGCCCTCGATGAGGCAATATCAAGTTTTCAATGAATGTCTCCCGAGCCAAGAAACTTTTGACGACTCAGGGACTACCGCTAACCGCCACCCCCATCGACTTATCAAACACCTGCGGTCATAAGACCCCATATGGGCAGCCTCAGTCTTGCAAGACCTGTATAAGGTAGCAACAAAAACTATAAGACCTCAAGCAAGGCATGAATCATACTTGTACCAAGTAACCAAAACTCTAAGACCGCAAGCAAGGGATGAACCATACATGTACCAAGTAACCAAAACTGTAAGACCTCAAGCAAGGCATGAACCATACTTGTACCAAGTAACCAAAACTATAAGACCTCAAAGGCATGTAAAAATTTGTAAGACCTTACAAAAGGCATAATCTCGATCTTAAAGTTAAGGCTATATATTGAACTTGTAAGACCCCTAAAAAGGCATACACTCGATACAGATGTCGAAACTACTTCAATCAGG